ATTGCCTTCAGGATTGGAATGAAAACTGACCTTTTCCAGTCCTTTGGCCATTGCTGAGTTTTCCAAATTTTCTGACATATTGAGTGCAACATTTTAACACCATCATCTTTTAGGATTTTAAATAGCTCAGCTAAAATTCCATCACCTCCACTAACTTTGTTCATAGTGATGTTTCCTAAGGTCCACTTGACTTCACACTCCAGGATGTCTGGCTCTAGGTTAGTGAGCCATCATGGTCATCCAGTTTATTAAGACCTATATATATATAGTTTCTGTGCATTCTTCTCACTTCTTCTTAATTTCTTCTGCTTCTCTTAGGTCCTTGCCATTTCTGTCTTTTATTGTGTTCATCTTTGCATGAAATGCTCCACTGATATCTCCAATTTATTTAAAGAGATCTCTAGTCCTTCCCACCCTATTGTTTTCCTCTATTTCTTTGCATTGTTCACTTAAGAAGGCTTTCTTATCTCTTCTTGCTATCCTCTGGAACTCTGCATTCAGTTGGGCATATCTTTCCTTTTCTCCTTTGCTTCACTTCTCTTCTTTTCTCAGCTATTGTCTGAGGCCTCCTCAGACAACCATTGTGCCTTGCTGAATTTCTTTACCTTGGTGGTGTCACCAGCTCCTGTATAGTGTTGCAAACCTTCACCCATAGTTCTTAAGGTACTCTGTCTACCATTTCTAATTTGTTGAATGTATTCATCACCTTCACTGTATAACCATAGGGATCTGATTTAGGTCATACGTGAATGGACTAGTGGTTTTCCCTACTTTCTTCAATTTAAGTCTGAATTTTTCAATAAGTAGCTGATGATCTGAGCCACAGTCAGCTCCAGGTCTTGTTTTTGCTGACTGCATAGAGCTTCTCCATCTTCAGGGCAAAGAATATAATCAATCTAATTCCAGTATTGACCATCTGGTGATGTCCATATGTAGCGTTATCTCTTGTTTTGTTGAAAGAGAGTGCTTGCTATGACCAGTTCAATTCTCTTCACAAAACTCTGTCAGACTTTGCTCTACCTCATTTTGTATTCCAAGGCCAAATTTACCTGTTAGTCCAGTTATCTCTTAACTTGTTCGTTTTGCATCCCAATCCCCTATGATGAAAAGGAATCCTTTTTCGTGTTAATTCTAGAAGGTCTTTTAGTTCTTCATAGCATCATTCGACTTTAGCTTCTTCGACACTAGTTGTTGGGGCGTATATTTGGATTACTGTGATATTGAATGGTTTGTCTTGGAAATGAAACCAAGCTCATTCTGATGTCTTTGAGACTGCACCAAAGTACTGCATTTTGGACTCTTTTGTTGGTTATGAGGGCTCCTCCATTTCTTAGGGGTTCTTGCCCACAATAGTAGATATAACAGTCAACTGAATTAAATTTACCCATTCACGTCCATTTTAGTTGACTGATTCCTAAGATGTGGATGTTCACTTTTGCCATCTCCTGCTTGAGAACATCCAGTCTAACTTGATTCATGGACCTAACACATTCCAGGTTTCTATGCAATATTATTTTTTGCAGCATTGAGCTTTACTTTTAACACCAGATTTTAGCGATTTACAGTTACTTTTTATTCTTTTGTCTTTGTCCTTCAAATCCTATTAAAAAGTAGGATTATAAACCAAAATTGTAATAATATTGGTTTTTACTTTTATCCATGTATTTAGCTTTACTCTAGAATTTTTATTTTCATATGGCTTTGAGTTACTGTCCAGTGTCCTTTCATATCACTTTGAAGAAGAATCTTTAAATTTTCTTTTAGGGTAGACTTCATAATGAACTCCCTCAGTTTTTATCTCTGAATATCTCAATTTTTGAAGTGTAGTTTTGCTAAATATAGACTTCTTGGTTGACCATTTTTTAAGCTTTCATTAAATATATTATCCCACTGCCTTCTGACCCGCAAGGTTTTAGCAGAAAATTTCTGATAATCTCATTAAGGATCTCTTATACATGGCTGTTTCTCTCTTGTTGCTTTCAAGATTCGTTGTCTATCAACAGTTTGATTATAATGTGTCTCACTGTGGGTCTCTCTCCGGTTGTCCTACATGGAGTCTATTGAGCTTCTTGTATTAGCGTATCCAAGTCTTTCCTCAAATTTGGAAAATTTTCAGCTTTGCTTTTCCAAGTAAGTTCTATGTCCCTTTCTTTGTTGCCTTCTAGGATTTCCAGAATGTGTAGCTTGGTCTGTTTTATATTGTATCACAATTCCATTAGATTCTGTTCAGTTTTCTCCCCCCACCCCTTTTTTTCTGCTCCTCAAACTCAATAGCATCAAATAGTATATCTTCACATTTGCTGACTTTTCTTCTTCCTGCTTAAGTCTGCTGATGAATTCCTATGGTGCAGTTTTCAATTCAGTTTTGCATTTTTTAGCTTCAGAATTTTTGTTTGATTCTTTTAAAATTTTCTATCTTTGCTGATATTCTTACCATATATGGTTTTCTTGACTTACTTCAGTGTTTTGCTCATGTTTCCTTTAACTTAGTGAACATATTTAAGAGTTAAAGTTTGTCCCATAAATCCAAAGCTTGTGTTTCTTTAGAGTTGGTCCCTGTTTACTTGTATAGCATGTGATTTTTTTTTTTTTTGACATTTGGGATTTGAAAAAAGTTGCTATCCTAGTCTTTGCAGATTATATCTCAGCATAGAGAGAATTTACTAATCTGTCTGGCATAAAGGTTCAATTTTTCTCAGAACATTTCTGGGCATATATATACCCTGGACCTATGTATATGCTTTTCCTTCATCTCTTCACTATTTATGGCTGCTTTTAAATATATTAATATCCCTATGAATTTTACCTTTGTTCCCTTTTGGGACCTTAGATGTTCTACTGAATTGTGATACCCATAATATCTTGTCCCTGGTGCCTGCATGTCTGCAGTCCCCCTTGTAGTTTTCATACCTTGGCATCTGTCAGTACTTTCAGCAACTTTAATATAATATCCAAACTATGGCACTGTTCTCACTTGAGCTCTGAGTTAAGTAAAACAAATTCAGTTCTTTGCACAGTTCTCAAATTGGCCTGAATATTGAAAAAATTCTACTCTTTTCATCCCAAAGGAGCAACCAGTAAATGCATAGCTTTCTACCAACTCAGTGTACTGTCCCAGAGATGGTGATGGTGTAAAGATAAGCAAAAACACCACAGATACCCTTACAGTTTGCATGTGGCTTTTTTGACTGGGCATTCACTTGAGTGTTGCAGACCCTTCACCAGTTTCTATATGAAGCTATTTTAGCTAATCTCTCTCTCTCTCTCTGTGTGTGTGTGTGTGTGTGTGTGTGTGTGTGTGTTTAACTAGCTATTTCTATAGAACAATTTGAGGCTTCTTAGCCTACTAATTTTCTCAAAGATCTGCTCGAATAATTTTTAATTAAGACAACAGCAGGATGCTAGGGCTTCTCCAGTGACTCAGGCAGTAAAGAATCTGCCTGCAGTATGGGAGACCTGGGTTCAATCCCTGGGTTGGGAAGATCCCCTGGAGAAGGGCATGGTAACCCATTTCAGTATTCTTGCTTGGAGAATCCCCATGGACAGAGGAGCATGGTGGGCTACAGTCCCTGGGGTCACAAAGAGTCAGACATGACTGAGCGACTAACCACAGCACAGCAAGATGCTAAAAGAATTAACAAGAAGGAAGATTTAATTTGATTGTCTTATTATTAACATATCTCTGAAATATAGTCTTTTAATTTTTGTATCAACAATATAATGTAGTGAAAAAGAATGACATTTTGAATTAGGTAAATTCATTTTCTCTCTCTCTTCCCTCTTCTCTTCTAAACAACTGTGTCATTTTTTTATTAATAAGTGTTCATTTAGTCATCCAGTAATGGAGGAGAAAAAAATGTATGATTTACTGACAGGCTTTATGCCACCCAACCTATGATGTTTATCAACATACAATCAAGATAATGGTAGAATTCACCAACATCTCTGAATGCACTTTCACCTCTCACAATAGAACCTAAAAGATAAACTTGCTAAACTGCATAGGTTATATGTTAACATGAAGTAACACTGTTAACCAGATGGCAGCTGAAGGAAATACAAATGAAGTACCTGGAAGGAAATGGTCAGTTTTGTAAAAGGACAGACTTGGCTCTTACTGGGATGATCTAGCATAGTGTGAGTTAATACTGCAATCTCTTAAAATCTAATCCCTCCTCTAATACATACTAGGTGCATGCAATTGGGGTGCATGAATTAACATCTCCAAACCTTAGTGTCCCAAACTTTAGCAAATGTTATTGTTATAGGTATAGACAATGCAAATACTTAGAAAAGTTCTTGCCAAAAGTAGGTGTTCAGTACATATAATCAGTTACCACTACTACTTTACAAGTAAATAAGTTCTGAGTAGCCTGCCCATAAAGCTTCCAGCCATACCTGTTTACCCGTTTTTAGATATGGCCAATCTAGATACATATGTTATGAGGAGTCTTTCAGGATTTAGGACCATCATACCACACTGTAAGACTGGTTTTCTGTGAAATTCTGTGCTACATTTCACAAAAGAAAATATTCTGGTACTTGAGTCCATTCCTTAGAAGGTGAGGGCTTCCTTGATAGCTCAGTTGGTAAAGAATCTGCCTACAATGCAGGAGACCTGGGTTTGATCCCTGGGTTGGGAAGATCCCCTGGAGAAGGGAAAGGTTATCCACTACAGTATTCTGGCCTGGAGAATTCCATGGACTGTACAGTCCACAGGGTCACAGAGAGTTGGACACGACTGAGTGTCACTTTCACTTAGAAGGTGTAGGAAATGGCTGGTAGATGACCCATACTCCAGCACCTCCATTAATAATTAACTTTTGTAGCCAGTAATTTCAGCTGATTGTTCTTGCATCTGGTTTAGTTATCTTTATGAGACTATCAAGAAAAAAAATAGCAAGTAACTAAATATTTCAGTTAAGACCTTTTTTGGAAGAACACAATCAGGTCTTTATCTACTAGCAGTCTTTTTTTTTTTTTTTTTTAAAGAGGCTTACCGTTTACTTTATGAAGTTTCTGTTTCTTAGCCTTTAGCAAGATCTCAAGATTTTTCGTGAAATTCATGGTAAACTCAGAATTTCCAGAAATTGAGAAGGGCACAATTGTTTGACCATATTGTTCCAAATCCATTTCTCTGTCAAGTTTTTCTTCACTTATTGAAATCTCCACATCGCTCATCAAAAAATAAAAAATACCCACGAATGCTAGTATCTGCAGCAAGATCAAATTCCAGTTGCGCCACGAGAACATTGCTCTTTTTATGAACATGGCAAAGAACTGCTGACTGTAAAGAGTCCACTGACAAGACAGAAGGTGGCATTATAGCATCACAATGGTCATAACATTTAATGAAATTCATTAATATTTTAATCTTATGATAGAGGATGTAAACAATTTTATAAATATACCCTTGAACAGAACATAACCATAGTTCACAGACTAGGTGACAAAGAAGACTTCTTATTTATATAATGTGTTGAATGCAGGGATTAAGGCTTCCATCTAATTACACTGAAAACCTCAAAATGATCACTAACACATTCATAGTGTCTCTGACCAGGGGAACATCACATCTATCTTTCTTAGCCAATATTAAATCATAATATTTTTAAATTCTTAGCCTCTGACCACCAGGGAAGTCCCATCAATCAGTATTTTCTGAATGAAACAATTAGCATTTAGATGTTGTCACTGATTGGAAATAAGGTAAAGTTTAGAAGGATTCTTTCTCACATTGTTTTCTGACTTTTAGATATATTTAGATATATTTCTAGGATAACAGCATATATTAATACAAGAATCAATTTTTCTAGACTATTCTGCAAATCTTTCATTGTCTGCATATTTATAAGAAGGGGGAAATAAAGAAGAGTGATATAGCAGAAATGTGCAAGCAAGGAGAAGAGGAAAATTACATTTTAAAGTATCCAATTCATGGCAAACATTCCAAAGGTCATATTTTACTTGGTGTTAACTCATTAAAATGTCTCACAGAGAATTAAATTAAAGCACAGATATGTTAAATAATTTGTTTAAAGTCAAATAACTAGTGAATAGAGCAGGAATTCCACTTCTCTCTGGTTCAAAATTCCACACGTTAGTTGTACAATATCAACTCTGCTTCACAACTGACTCATCAGCCCCCTCAGTGAAAGTATGCTTATGGGCAACTTTGAGAAACATATCTTCCACATCAGAATCCCTCATGTTTTGGGGCAAGACTGTAAGGAGTATTTAGTTCAGAGAACAAGGAAAGAAATGCTTGTCAGTCCAGTGGAATTTCCCATGGTAATGAAGAAAGATACTGAATTGGGAGTAAATAGTTCACTAGGAAATATCAATTCATTTCAATTCATACATTTAAATAGTTTTATGTACATGAATAGTGTTAACTTTTATAAGAAACTTTCTCAACTCTGAATGGACTAACAATTCAAAACCGTGATAAGTGACTCTGAGGAATAATAATGGGAAGAGTAAAAATCTAATTTCTACTATCATATTTTACTTTTGAATTTAAAAACTAAGTGAATTGTTTTACATACTACTCTTTACCTGGATTTCTTTGGCTAAGAACTCAAACTCTACTTTTAATTCAATATTAAAATGAAATATTATAACTTTTATCCCATACAAATATATACAAATATTATATTCTTAGTGAAGTTGCTCACCCCAGTATTAAATGTAATATTAGAGCGTTTACTCAAGTTGGAGGAAGAATATGTTCTCTCAAAATTTCTAGGGACATTCATATTCTGATTTGTGTCTTCATTTTCATCTTCATTTGGTAGGGCCTGCAAAGTCGGATTATGCAATTGACTGACCCTACACACACAGAAAAAGAAAATTATTTTAACCAGAATGGTGGTTTCTAAATACATAGTTCATCATAAAATTTTCAAAATGAGTCAAAATTTAAAAAAAAATCACTGGCTAGAAGTTGTTAAATCTGTAAAAACTGATATTGATAATATACAACAGTTTTATTTTCATAATGTTTCTAAGCTTATTTCAGAAAAATTAAACTAAAGAGGCTCTTTAGTTCTTCACTTTCTGCCATGAGGGTGGTTATTGATATTTCTCCCAGCAATCTTGATTCCAGCTTGTGCTTCATCCAGCCCAGCATTTTGCATCGTGTATTCTGCATTTAAGTTATATAAGCAGAGTGACAATATACAGTCTTGATGTACTCCTTTCCCAATTTGGAACCAGCCTGTTTTTTCATGTCTTGTCCTAACTGTTGCTTCTTGAGCTGCATACAGATTTTTCAGGAGACAGGTAAGGTGGTCTAGTATTCCCATCTCTTTAAGAATTTTCCATAGTTTGTTGTGATCCACACAGTCAAAGGTTTTGGCATAGTCAATAAAGCAGAAGTAGATGTTTCTCTGGAACTCTCTTGCTTTTTCTATGATCCAATGGATGTTGGCAATTTGATCTCTGTTTCCTCTGCCTTTTGTAAATCCAGCTTGAACATCTGGAAGTTCATGGTTCACATACTGTTGAAGTCTGGCTTGGAGGATTTTGAGCATTACTTTGCTAGTATGTGAGGTGAGTGTAATTGTGCTGTAGTTTGAAAATTCTTTGGCCTTGCCTTTCTTTGGGATTGGAATGAAAACTGACCTTTTCCAGTCCTGTGGCTACTGCTGAGTTTTCCAGATTTGCTGGCATATTGAGTGCAGCACTATAACAGCACCATATTTTAGGATTTTCCATCAGTTCCACTAGCTTTGTTCAAGCTAATGCTTCCTAAAATCGACTTTACTTCACACTCCAGGATGTCTGACTCTAGGTGAGTGACCACACCAAAATGGTTATTCAAGTCATTAAGACCTTATTTGTATATTTGCTGTGTATTCTTGCCACCTCTTCTTAATCTGTTCTGCTTCTGTTAGTTTCTGTCTTTTATTGTGACCATTTTTGCATGAAATTTTTCCCTTGGTATCTCTAATTTTCTGAAGAGAACTCTAGTCTTTTCCATTCTATTGTTTTCCTCTCTATCTTTGCAACGTTCACTTAAGAAGGCTCTCTTATCTCTCCTTGCAATTCTTTGGAATACTGCATTCAATTAGGTGTCTTTCCCTTTATCCTTTGTCTTTCATTTCTATTCTTTTCTCAGCTATTGATAAGCCCTACTCAGAAAACCACTTTGCTTTCTTGCATTTCTTTTTCTTTGGGATGGTTTTGGTCATCTCCTGCTGTACAATGTCACAAACCTCCATCCATTGTTCTTCAGGTACTCTGCCTACTAGATCTAATCCCTTGAATCTATTTGTCACCTTCACTGTAATCATAAGTGATTTGATTTAAGTCATACCTGAACAGTCTTTGTTTTTCCATGCTTTCTTCAATTTAAGCTTGAATTTTGCAATAATGATATGAGCCAGAGTCAGCTCCCAGTCTTAGTTTTGCTGACTGTATATAATTTCTCCATCTTCTGCTGCAAAGTAGATAATCTATCTGATTTCAATATTAACCACCTGGTGATATCCATGTGTGGAGTCATCTCTTGTGTTGTTGGAAGAGAGTGTTTGCTGTGACCAGTTTGTTCTTTTGGCAAAATTCTGTTAGCCTTTGCCCTACTTCATTTTGTACTCCAAGGCCAAACTTGCTTGTTACTCCAGGTACTTCTTGAATTCCTGTTTTTACATTTCAGTCCCCTATGATCAAAAATCCATGTGGTCATTTTCGTTAGTTTTCTATGATTGTGGTTTTCATTTGGGAAGCTATGAGACTGCAGTTCTTGCTTCTTCTGTCTTCTGTCTTTGTTCTAGGCCAGTACTAACAATTCTACCCACAAAATACACAGACATTCAATTGTAATCCCAAAGTTTCAAATAATCTTCTTATGAAATATTCCTCTGCTCTGGGTATTCAGCACCTGGATTTAGTTTTTTGTGCAGTTTCATAGTCTCATTTTTTGCATTGAGTGTCCTGCCTCCTAACTCTCTGAACTGATATTCTCACTCTAGTTCCATGAGTCACAGCAGCCTTAGCGCATAAGGTGAGCAAGGTACGTAAACTGATATGTTCATGATTCATAGAAGATAATCATAGCTAACAATCCATTACTACTTCAATTATTTTAGCTCCACACATGATGGGTCTTGCTTTCAAAATGAAATCTGATTTTAAAGAAAAATTTTTTTTCTGCTCTCTTGCTCCCATGCATCATTACTTACTTAATGAAAACCTCTTCCATGGTAGTGATGGAGATACCAAAACTAGCAATACCCAGCTCTTCCTGTCTGTCTGTCATTTCAGTAAGTAGATCTTTAAACCTAGGAGAAGAAGGAGAAGGAGCTAGTACTTGGAAGGTGATTTTCACATTAATATTTTTGTTACACATTGGGGGAATATGTAGCTTATTCTTTGCTGCAATGCTTACCATATTTTCCATGGCTGGTGATAAATCATGAATGTGGAATAATATACACATATGAAACTATCACCACCAAAGCCATAGACATACCCATCGCTCCCATAATTTCCTCCCATCCCTCTTAATATTTTTTATTTTTGTGGTAAAGATGCATAATCTGAGAGCCATCCTCTTAGTAAATATTAAGTATGCAATATGGTTATATGTAGGCACTATGCTGTATAGTTGATCTCCGAAATTTATTTATCTTGCATAAACCAAAATTTTGGATAAACTGAATGTCAACTCCCTCTTTTCCCCTCCTCCATTCATCAGCTCTGGCAACCACAATTCTACTCTCTGCTGTTAAGAATTTGACCATTTTAGATTCCATGATACAAGTGAGATCATACAGTGTTTGTTGTTCTGTGTCTATTTTATATTACTTAGTATAATGTCCTCTAGGTCCATCCATTCATTCTGTCACAAAAGATAGGATTTACTTCTGTTTTAAAGTTGAATTATATTCCATTGTATATACATTTATTTTTTCTTTATTCATTTGTAGGTGGACACTTAGGTTGTTTTCATATCTTGCCTATTGTGAATAATGCTGCAGGGATCATGGGAATACAGGTGTTCTTCTGAGATCCTGATTTCAATTCTTTTTAATAAATACCCAGAAATGAGATTGCTGGATCATGTATGGTAGTTTTATTTTTCACTTTCTGAGAAATCTCCATGGTTTTTTCCCACACAGCAAAATCTTAAGGAATACATAGTAAATGCAACTCTTAAAAGTAATTATATAGAGAAAGATTATGAGAACAGTTTTGTGGTGTTTGTACATTTGTTCACATAGATATAACAGCAGACTCAAGCGCCCATAAGTCTGAGGAAGTAAGAAAACAAAAATTTATAGTGAATCAGTCAAGCATTATTATTAGCATTATCCTTTTTATGATTTAAAATGTAGTAAATTCAAATGTTTGAAGCTCCAATATTTTGGCTCCTTGATGTGAAGTGCCAACTCATTGGAAAAGACCCTGATGGTGGGAAAGATTGAAGGTAAAAGAAGGGGGAAGCAGAGGATGGGATGGTTAGATAGTATCACCAAGTCAATGGACATGAATTTGAGCAAACTCCAGGAAATAGTGCAGGACAGAGGAGGTTGGTGTGCTACAGTCTGTGGGGCTGCAGAGTCAGAAACAACTTAGCAACTGAACAACAACAACAAAATTCAATTGGGATATCGAGATGGCAGGGTAGGAGGATGTGGCACTCACATTTCCCCACAAACACATCAAAAATATACATACATGTGAAACAATTCTCATAAAAACTAACTAGTCAACAAAGGCTTGCAACTAAAGCTGCAAGAAAGATCTCCACATAACCAGGTAGGATGGAAAAAAGGCATTAAGTCAGGGTATTTGCTCCTGGGAGCAATCTATAAGGAGAAAATCGACACAGCCAGACCCTTTCCCTGAGGAGTAAAGAGTCTAGGCATATCAGTCCTGTGGAGGAAATGGGTCCCCTTACCAGATAAGACAGATAAATGGGTTAGAGATGCCTAGCTCCCTAAGAGTGTATACATGTTGGCTTGCTGACGATCAAGGCAGAAATAGCCTTGCACTGGAGGCTGCTGCCTCACTGCACTTGACAATTTGAAGGGAGAAACAACTGACCCTGCTCACTCCACACCACAGCCTTGTTCAAGTTCTGGGCAGAGACCTAGCCTAGCTCTGCAGAAACTGACCAGGGTGCTTGGGGTGTGAAACAGGCCAAGCTGTGGAGGCCTTCGTCAGCAGATGTGGCAACAGGGGATATTTATTGTCAATGTGCACAGAGGGCAGTACCACAGAAGCTTGCGGTGATAAGTGCTAAATCTCAGGCAGACAGGCCCTGGGAGAGGAGCTAATATAGCTCTGCAGAGACAGCCCAGAAAGCCTGGGGGGTGGGGGTAAATGAAGTGAAATGGCAATGAACATTGTCATTGCCTAGGAGTACATAGTAGTTTGTCTCCCAGTGAGGGCACTCCAGTTCAGCTTGGCATGAGACATGGACAGAGAGGTCCTGAGAAAAGTATGCCACAGAGGCAGTCCAGATCAGCTGAAAGCACGGCCACCTCAATTCAGACAGCCACAATGTCCCAACACCCAGTCACAGCCTTGTACTAGATCTGAGATGAACACAACAGAGAAATGGATAAGCATCACAGAGAGCCTCTGTGATTTCATGGGCCTCACATGCTTCAACAACCACCCTATTTAGGGCAGAGCTCACACTCAAGGGCAATGGAGCCATATCAAACTTGACCCTCAGGACTTCAAATACAACAACTGAGGAGCAGACTCTGCCTCTGATAGGGTAGCAATAGCCACAGAGCAAAGAGGAAACCCCACTTTACATCTTGCACAGACTTTAAATATCCCAACACCAACCACACCCCATATCAAGGAGATAAAGGCCAGTACACTGGGCTCAGTGTCTATACCAAAACCAGTAAACACACACAGTTTGCCCAAGTATACTCCCATATAAGAACAACCCTTGAAGTTCAAAGAGTGCTGTATGTGCTATGCTCAGTTGCTTCAGTCGTATCCCCATGGATCATAGCCCACCTGACCCCTACGTCTATGGGATTTTTCTGGCAAGAATACCTCAAGTTCACAGTAGGTAACTTTCTCATAGATTCATAGAGACAGAGAAAGTCAAATATGATAAAGTCAGAGGAACTGCTCCCAATTAAAAAGAAAATGAGAAATACCCTGAAAGAACAAATAATGAAACAGTGTTCACCAGTCAACTAAAACCAAAAAGAAGTAATAAAAATGCTAACCAAATTAAGAAAAACTATTGATGCAAATGAAGATCACTATAAAAAAGGAACTGGAAAATACAAAGCTGAACCAATCAAAAATAAACAACTCAACTGCTTAGATAAAAACCAATCTAGAAGCAATGAATATTCACAAAATAACATAGAAGAATGAATACATGATTCAGGAGAGACAATGATTGAAGTCACCCAATCAGAACAGAAGACAGACTAATAAAAAATGTTAAATCAACATATAATATCTATGCAATAATAAAAATTATGCTAACCTGTGCATAATAGGGGTTCCAGAAGAAGAAAAGAGAGACATGGGTACTAAAAATGTACTTGAGGACATTATGGTTAAAATCTTCTCAAACCTAAATAAGAAGCAGACATAAAGGTACAGGAAGCACAGTGTTGCAAAAAGATGAACCCAAATAGACTCACATTTAGACATATCATATTTAAAATGGCAAAAGCAAAAGATAAAGAGAAAATTCTAAATTCTAAAGGCAGCAAGAGAAAATTAAGAATCATCTACAATGGAAGCTCCATGAAGCTATTGGTTGATATTTCTACAGAAACTTTGCAGACCAGAAGGGATATAGTCAAAGGCCTGAAAGAGAAAACCCTGCAACTTAAGATACCCAAAAAGATTATCATTTAGAATAGAAGAAAAGATAAAAAGTTCCTCAGACAGTCAGAAACTAAAAGAATTCAGCAATACTAAACCTACAATAAAAGAAATATTGAAAAGTCTTCTGTAAATAAAGATAAACAAGAATCTACAGGAAAAAACAATCACAATAAGAAAGGCAAACAAATAAAAAGAATGAAGATTACTAAAATAAACCAAAGTATAGATTAAAAAATAAAACAAAACTCAAAAAATTTTAAATGAATTATAACTACAATTAACAATAAAAAGACAAACATGAAAACAGGACATAAATGATAAAATCTGGAGGAGGGGAGTAGAAAAACATATCTTTTAGAATGCATTTTATTTTGAATGACAATCTTTTTAAAGCAAGCAGGTACAATTGCAGATCAACATACTTGATTTTCATGGTAACCACAAATCAATGATATGCATTAGATTCACAAAAACCAAAAATAAAGGAACTCAATCATATTACAGAAGAAAATTATCAAGCCAAAAAAGAGAAAAACAAAAAGAAGACAATATGAACAAAGAAAAACTATAAAAACAACTGGAAAAGAAGGGTTTAAATGGCTGTAAGCACATACCTATCAATAATTAATTTAAAGTCAACAGACTAAATCCTCTTATCAAATGATATCGTGTAACAGGTGGGATAAAAACCAAGAACTTAGAATATGCTGCCTAGAAGAGATTCACTTCAGGGCAAAAACACACTTGCTGAAAGTGAGGGGATAGAAAAAGATGTTTCAAGCAAATGGAAATTACAGGAAAGCAGGAATAGCAATACACATATCAAAAAAATAGGCATTAACACAAAGGACATGAAGAAAGACAAAAAAGAACATTATATAATGATGAAGAAGCCAATACAAGAAGATAGTATACCAACCAACATACATGCATATAGGTGCACCTTAAATATTTAAAATAAGTATAATAAATACTAACAGACATAAAGAGAGGTGGACAATAAGACAATAATAGTAGGAGAGTTTAATACTTCATTGATATCAAAGGACAGATAATCTAGACAGAAAAGTAATAAGGCAACAGAGGTCCTAAATGATAAAACAGATCCATTGGAGTTGATATCTACAGGGCACTACACAATCCCCACAAAATATAACAAAAACCAGAATACAAATTCTTTTCAAGTGCAAAGGAATCATCTAGGATAAATCACATACAACATCACAAAACAAGCTTCAACAAATTTAAAAGGATAGAAATTATTTCAAGCATTTTTTATGACCACAGTGGTGTGAAACTAGAAACCAACCACAGAAAGTAAAACAGGAGTAGAACAAACAGCTGAAGATCAAACATGCTACTAAAAAAACCAAGAGAGTCGATGGTAAAATCAAAGAAGATATCAGAAAAAATAAAAACTCAAGAAAATGAAAATACAACCTTGCAACATCTATGGGAT